ATTTAGAGAGAGAGAGACTGCAAAACATAGTCAAGGCTGCAGTACCTCTGTTTCTTTAATTTCAGAAGGATATTGGTTTTTTATTTTTTAGGAGAGAAAAAACTGATTTATTGAATTGTACGATTACATTTATAAGTACGGAGTTGTGCTTGATTAATCCAAAGATGACCCGATAAAATTAAACTCAGAGATTCATGTAAACACGCTGCATGGCAGCTGCGCAGGCTATGGTGATGCACTTTCTTCACAACATACTTTGAATTTGAATTTGAATTAAGTAAATGGATAAGATCGGTAAAATCAACACACCTTAGCAATCAAATTAGCACTTTAATCTGTAAGCCAAGGATGAAAACCGATAACGTAAAATCTGCATTCAGTATCTATAGCATAAAAGCTTTTTTTACATTAACGCTACCTCCGGGTTTGCAACAGAAAATTCCTGAAAGTCTGAGAAACATGATAGAGGATCCTTGTATTTCGAACCCAATAACTGTTTTCCCTGCCTTTCTAATAGCTGTCCTACATTTGTCAATATTGCAGTCTCCCTAGACATCCAACAAGCGATTTAAATACAATATAGTAAATCACAAAGGAAAAAGAACAAAATGAGAAAATTGAAACATTACTGTAAATAGAAATTTCCAGTTCCCAGGCAACTAAAACAATGTTAAGCTACAATTCCAGCATATCAAATTTCAATTCCTATATTTATTCAAATATCAAGCTCCAACAAATACTATAGTTTATCATAACAAATGTCACCGTTAAAAACACCAACTTTACATTAAAGAAGGCAATTTTTACTAAAACTGTAGACAAATCCTCTGAAACTAAATATCTATATTTGGTTTAATACAACGTGGCGTTTATCCCTGCAAATTTACTTAGACTTGGCCACCAACAAAACATTTCAAAACAATAATAAATGGTGAAGATTAGAGAGAATTCCATACGGGTCGGGTATCCAAGCCGGAGGGTCGGGGCCAAAGTTTTTATAGCAGCCATAATACATCATCTGATGGAAGGAGAAGGGAAGTGTAGGGTTAAGAAGGCGTTTGGATATGTGGTGCCATGTCTGTGGAGTGCCCGCTCCGTAATTAGCAACGATTCCGATCAGAGTCTCGTAAAGTCGCTCGGCGTCTTCCTTGTTTATTCCCAGAGATTCTATGTCTGCCCTGGTAACAGAATCTAGGGTTTTGTACGCCATTTTTCTTCTCACTCAGCTTCGCTCATATGATTGAGAGAGAGATTGAGGATTGAAGAAACGATGAATCGGACACTGCACCTGAATCAAATTCTTCTTCACGAGCAAGGAACCAAGTAGATAACCTTGCCACCTGTATTTCCATTTTTGGTCCTTTAAAACTATTTTTTTATTAATTTTTTAACCAATTTATTCTACAAAAATAATTAAGTTATTTTATTTAAATTATAAGATTTATAGTAATAAAATTATGAAAGAGCAAAACCCTTGAAATTTATTTATAATTTCAAATTTAATTCAACTAAAAATAATTTTTATTTATAAATGATAATTTTTAATTTTATATGAAATTAAAAGAATACATTATCAACTTTATCAAAATTCATGAAATCTGAGACTGTTTTGCTGCAAGTTTAAATAATTTTTATACATAATATTAATTTTTATAATTTTGTAATGAAATTACACCAGTTTTGTATTGAGTTCAGTATGCAACTTTATTCCAAACACAGTCTTAATATCCTTCAAATAAACCATATAGTTCATAGAAGACCAATGTTCTGGTTTTGTTGGGAATAGTGGGGAAAAGCACTTATTGGCTTAAAATAAGCCTCCTTTCTAGCTTCTTTTGCACATTCAATTTCAAGAAAAGATCAATAAACTCACATTAACAAGAAGAATAGCAGTGAGGCAAATTCCAACAAGAGACTGTAATAATCTAACCTAACAATGCACATTCAAACATTCTTGTTTTCATACACAATTTTTCTTTCACTCTGGAAGAAACTTTGTTGTACCAAACCGTTTGGCAGAGGGGATGATCCGTGATGGCGAAAGAACCTCTGCGATAAATGAATTAGACGAATCTGTTCCTAATCGACTCTGCAACCACCCTCTGCTCCCAGAAAACCCATCAGCCACAATCCAGCAGTTTTTGAACCCAAGACTTGTTAGTGTTCTTGCAACTATTTTGGCTGAATCAGAGTATCTGAATGTTTAGAGGAGGAGGAGATTGGCGTTAGTTCAAAAAAACATAGCATCTTAGAAATCTTTATTGTTTAAAAACTAGTTTGTATATAGGCAAGGTTGGGAAAACTTACGAATCCATAATGATGATGTTAGAGCCTTTGTTGATTTTCTTGAGGTATGAAATCTTCAAAGCTGCTATTTCAGCTTCTACTTTCTTTACATTTCTGACTAGGCCTCTCAATTTGCTCGGTAATTCTTCCAAACTGAAACATTAGAGCAGACTTAATGTTGTGCACATTATAAATTAAGTGGATGAAGACAGAAAAGTAAAAGAGACAGAGAATTTACGTGGTTCAGTTAAGTTGACCTACAACACGAGGGATAAATCCAGATTTCGTATGAATATTTCTGGAAATGTCCTATCTACTCGTATTTTAATCATATGAAAATCACATAAGATCAAGTCCCATTATAACCCTTAAGTAACAAAATTCTGAAAATCTAAGACAGAACCACAGAGCTTTTACATTTATACAAGAAACTGAATCTAGTTCGAAGTTTTGTAA